TGAAATCCTTGTACAAATGGAATGACTGGAAGAATGCAACACTGAATTCAGAGTGCCCTGAATTATTGCAAAACACCAGAAATCTAGTTTGTAGGAATTGCAGATTACAGTGCTACCTTGGGTAACATATTCTTCAGGTTACATACGCTTTAGGTTACAGACTCCTGTAACCCAGAAATAGTACCTCGGGTTAAGAACTTTGCTTCAGGATGAGAACAAAAATCATGGTCTGGCGGCGCGGCGGCAGCAGGAGGCCCCATTAGCTAAAGTGGTGCTTCAGGTTAAGAACAGTTTCAGGTTAAGAACGGACTTCTGGAACAAATTAAGTACTTAACCCGAGGTACCACTGTATTAACCTTGATTTGTGAAATTGTGTTCCCAAATTTTGGATCCATTTGCACATGTGCTTATGTCACATGATGGCTTGTCAGTTAATGACTTGAAGCAGAATGTGTGAACATCATCCACTGAAATGGATTGTCGCTGTTATTTAACCTTGTTGGGGAAAGGTCGTAGTTCGGGGGTAGAGCAGAGGCTTTGCATTCAGAAGGTTCCCTATTCAATCCTCAGGTCCTCCATGTAAGCCAGGAGTGTCTCCTGTCTGAAATACTGGACAGCAGCTTCCAGTCAGCATAGAGCTAAATGTACCAATGGCACACCAAAAGATGCCCCATGTTATAGGCTGGTTACCTGCCAGTATGATCCTCAAACAACGTACAGTAACAACCGAGGCATTGGGAAAGCGTTCTGCCAGTGACCTTTGGCTGTTTCACACATGGAAGTCGTCACAAATTGAGAACCAAAACACAGCCATCCCTCGAAATCCACACTGATGTATTTATTATGATGCAGTTCTCCAACCAGTATCTACAAAAATGCATATATTAGGGACAAGTGTGCATAAATATGATTATATTAGTGAGTACAACATACAAAACTGCATTGGGAGAATCTTTTGCAAAAATGTGTACATCGGTCAAAAACGTATACAAAAAAATGTGTCTGTTAGGAGAAATTCACTCTAAAGCGCTGGTGAATTTTCGTGCGGATTTTGCAATGTTCCTGTTTGCAGCTTGCTGCAGAAATGTGGAGAACTTAATTTAAGCTTTAAAAATGAGGCAATGAGAGAACTGAAATTGACACATCCTTATAAGCTCCTGGCGCTGTTGTTGTTTTATATTACATTTATATCCTGCCCTTCCTCTCAAAGGAGCCTAATAGTTAAACAATTGGGAGTCAGAAACCCTTTCTGATCTACTGCAAATCACCCAGAGATCTGCCATTATATCCTGCCCTACCATTTCCTCCCCTTCTCTGTCCTTGATGGCTGGGAATCTCTATTCCCCTGCTTTTGGCGGGGGCAGGGATGTCATGTTAGAGCTGGGGGGAGAAGCAGAGGAACCAGTTCATTGTATGAACTGAAGGAGAGAGGGAGAGGGAGAGAGCTATTAGCTGGCTGTAAAATATATATATATATATATTGGGTTGCAGGGACTCTGTGAACTTTGCACAATAATGATGCGTTTTCTGCCAGCTTTGAAGAATCAGCTTACTTCCACTCACACAGTGCTGGCTTATTTTGTAATAGATATATTCCAAAGACAGCTTAAATATTCAGACCTGTGCATCCTCATCCAAGAAAATAAAACCCTATAGCGTTGCCCCTGAAACGTCTCACTGCTTGCGGGTGGTGGGGTTGCTGTAATATGGCAAATCAAGTGTATCTTGACTTCACAGGGATCAATAGTGTTCAGACAGCAGACGCTTCCGTTGACCTGATACAAGCTGGGACACCTTCCGTTTAGTGGGGGCGTGAAAAGACTCTTCTGCTGGATTTAGACGCTTACTATAGTGTGTTTAGAGTGAGCAGCTGCCCACTAAACAGTTTGATCATTTTTCAGTTAATGCAAATTCATAGCACAATCTAAACTTCTCACCCTACACTGGTTATATTTGAGCAGGCATGCCACCTGAGGGCATTCATCTTCCTGCTTTTTAAATCCACTCGATTCATGTTTCTGGATTCTGGTTGGGGGAAATGGTGACTAGATGGCATATTGATGATTAAGCCTACAGTTTCCAGACTCCCTTCCTTTTTAGGCAACACGTTTCTGGATAGCTGGCCTAGTGTGGTGGTTAAAGGACTGAGTTTCTGGTTGACTGCGTCCTCGCCATCCTTATTAGGAGGACTTAGACAAGCCCCACCACATCAGCCCTGTCCTGTCCCCACCTGCCACCTGCAATACAAGGATAATCAAGTCTGTAATGTGTGTTAGGAAGGGCTACAGTGGTGGTATATGGGAAGTGCAAACTTCCTAAAGCACTACATATAAGTGCCTAGTACTTAGCAAATAGGCCCTTCTTCTGAGAAGCCCTTTCATGGCTGGCATTGCAGAGGATTGGCTTCATTGTTGCCCGCATTGGAGCCCAGAACACATCAAACCATACTCCGTGTCTGCACTTCGCAGGAAACCATTGGGCAAAACTGCATCTTAGAAATGATTTCTCTCTCTCAATAACACAACACACTTCCTTCTGCACAGCGGCCAAATCAGGCTCATTTGCCAGGTGGGAAACAGTGGGATTATATAAACTCAGAAGCTTCTGTGCTGATCAAAAGCCCCTTACAGCTCCAGAAATAAATTTTAAGTTGGGAGATAAACCATGTGGTTTGCTAGAGATACACCAGATTTCTAAACCAGCCAAATATAAGGACTCAAGCATTATGCAGCTGAATTAGTTTTGAAGCAACTACTCAACCAACCCACTAGGAAAGGGAAACATCCCCCAACTAGATAAAATCCTCACACAATTGGATAAAATTAAGACTGAAATGGGGAAAAGGTTTTGGAGACTAGAGGAACAACTGTGGGAACAAATTTGGAATCGGCTATCATTTGGATCCCTCCAAGAAACTCAATAAAATGTTTTAAAGCTAGCACAACGCTGGTACATGTGCCCAGCCAGGATATATAGAATTAATCATAATTTGTTGGTGGGAACTCAATTTACCTGGCTCTCTACGTGTGGTGGTTTTGCCCAGAACTTACTCCCTTTTGGGAAAAAGTTTTGCAAACAATTATTCAAATGATGGGACTATTGCTACAACCAGACCCAAAATTAGCCCTATTGCCTCATTTTACTTAAGAACTAAAGACCCCAGCCTCCATTAACTTCAGCTAGGTTAATGATTGCAAAACATGGGAAAACGTTAAACACAAATCTTTTTGAAGCCTGGATTTCACAAGTATGGGACATCGTGCCTATGGACAAATTAACCATTTCACAAAAGGAATATCGATTGGAGTGGGGGGAGACTCACACCTTTTATAGGACATGATGTCCTTTTATTGACTTCGTTAAGACAATCGAACATGGTTTTCACCCTCCATTGACTCATGGAACCTTATGGAGAAACACTTTGGGAGAGATTGCCTTTCCTGGAACGTCTAAAACTACAACTGTCAGGCGCTATTTTTCTTTTCTGTACAACTACTAAGCTATGTTTTCCTTGTATGGACATGTTACATTACTTGAAATTAAAAATCAATAAAGGAAGAAAGAAATGATTTTTCTCCTATTGCTTGTTAGGCTTTCAAGGACTCATAGAACCGTACAGTTGGAAGGGACCCCAAGGGCAATCTAGTCCCCATGCAATCCAGACACATTCAGGACAGGCCATCCAACCTTTGCTTAAATACATACCAGGTTTCTTCAGAATACAGCTTGGAAATTACTGCTCCATAGTATATAGTCTAAAGCAGGCATAGGGAAACAGGAATCCCCAAGATGATGATGGAATCTCTCATCAACCCCAGTCAGCATGGGCAATGGCAGGAATGATGGAAACATTAATCTAACATCTGATTCCCCACCCCTGATCTAAGTTTGAAGCAGGCCCCCATTGGAAGGGATGACAGTTGTCCCAGTGGGAGCCCTTAAGTTCTTATTGACTGTGTTTGGGAGCCCATGAGAACATACCTCTCACGTACAGTTTTTGCAGTGCAATGTGTTCTGTTCCTCATTTTGTTGACACAAACGTTAATGGAGCCCATTGGGACCTCCGGCATCTCCAGAGTGGGGAGATGCAGAAGCTCTATTCTGGACACTATAGAAATATGTGGAAGAGCTGAGGCGTTTGAACTTCCAACTCCCCTTGGATTCAATTTGCAGTTGAAGCTGCAAGAATAACAGAGAACTCCAAATGGTGATGTGGGTCTGCCTTCTCTCCAGCGAGACCGTTCAGCTTTCCTCCCTACTACCACTGTGGAAGGGGCATAGCACAAGAACAGAGCACATACTTTGCATGCAGAGAATCCCAGGTTCAATTCCTGGTACTTAGCCTTTTGTGTGTGTGTTAGTTATTTTCTCTAAAAGTATTTCTAAAAAAGGGACAAGAGCTACGTTTGACCAGGAGCCACTCTGCAGTGTGTTGGGGAAAGTGAACTCAATAGACAAGGGATGGGAACCTGTGGCTCTTCAGATTATTATTATTTTATTACTTTTATATTGCCCTTTATCCATAGACCTCGGGGGGGTGTGTCACAACATAAAATTACAATTAAAAAACCACAAAATACATAATAAAAATAAGAACAAAAACAAACCAATAATCCCCCCCCACAACACATTTAAAAGATGTTTCTGGGCTATGGCTCCCATAATCCTTGAGCGTTGTCAGTGCTGCATGGGGATACTTAGAGTTGAGGTCCAACAGTATTTGGCGGACTACAGGTTTTCCATCTCAGGTCTGTACAACCACCTGCTAATTATTCATCGCTGAGCAATTAAGCAGTTGAAGATCAAGTTATGTGTGAATCAGCTGGTGAAGAGGCTTGGTCTAAAATTACGTGCTGTTTACAACATAAAGTAGATAGGAAGGTGTTGGTGACTCATATCTGGGTAATCAAAATAAGAATTGGGAGCGTTTGACAGAGTTATCTGGTGTTGAGTGTCTACAGTGCATGCTCTTGATTTATTTTTGTCTCCCAAAATTGCAGGCCAAATGTCTGTTCTGAGCAAGAGTTGGCCATGGTGGGACATCGCCAGCCATGTGTTCAAGCCTTTACCCGTTTGGTGAAGATGTGGAAGCAGGACTGTGCAGGACAGAGATGGTGCATGGCCTATGAGAGAAGGTAACACGTGGTCCTGTGTTTTTAAAGCATGGTTTGATCAGTGAAGCAGTTTTCATCATCGTAATTAAGCGGGCATACCCAGGATCACCTACCACACATTCGTTAAGTGTTAAGGGATGCTGGGTGCACACCTTTGCTTTACTCTGTTAGGAAAACATTCTTTAAGAAACAGAAAAGTTATTGGAAGCTTTAAAGAGGGTTCCAGAATTTTTCTTTAGTGTGTAAGAGTGGCACTCTAGGCTTGATTGGTGTCAGCTGGAGGTGCAAATAAAAGGAGGTTGTTACAGGCTGCAATTTCCGCATGAGGAAGCGCGCGCGCGCACACACACACACACACACACACACACTGTCAGCACGCACGCTGATAACAAGTTTGGAAGTAAGACAATGTGTGCTGCTGATATTGTGAGTTTTGCTGTGTCAGGATTAATTACTGGACTGAGATTATACCATGCTGGAGAGAGAAAGAAGGAATGTAAATAGCTTGTATATAATAGTAACAGAAATGCTTGTGCAACCAGTCAAGCAATAAAGAAGCTCTTGATTGTGAATTTGAGTATGACTTCTGTTCTTGTCCTCTGCCTCTGGGGAAAAGTCTGCTACAAACAGTAAGCAGTGGTTTTACCGAGGTGCCACCACACAAGCAGAAAAGTGTAGCAGAAGTGTGGGGGCGGTAACCTCTAATATACTCACTAAATATTTTTTTGCCCCTTCCCGTTTCTGTAATATGTGGGTCCCATGGCAGATGCATGGAGGATAAATCAGGTGAGTTCAATGTCAACAGCATTCCCCAAAGAAAGGAAGTTTGAAAACCACTGCTATGCAATAACTGATAATGTGTCTCAAAATAGAGATGCTATTTTCTTCCTTGCATGCTGGATGTAGACCATAGCTGTTGCCTGAACAAAGTAGGGCAGTGTTTTGTCTTAGCGCTATCTTACACTGTGCTTTTACTATGATTATTTTTTAAAGGACAAGCTATTATACCATTTATAAGCAAGTGTACAGCATGGAACATCACACTGTCTTTAAGTGCTGCCCTGGCTGGAGCCAGAAGAAAGATGATGAAGCTGGGTGCCTTCACTGTAAGTTGTGATTGTAGAATACTGTGAGCTGCTTAACTTATTATTCTTTAAAGATGCTTCTTGACTTATTTTTTAAAATAAAACAGGAACACAAGAAGCTCCTTTATACTTGATGGGGTTATACTTCCTCTGAAGAAGTGGCTATGTAGCTTGGGGGTACTACTGGATCCTTGGCTGTTGCTTGAGACTCAAGTGGTCTTCGTAGCATGGAGTGCCTTCCATCAGCTTCAGCTGGTGGCCCAGTTATGCCCCTATCTGAACAGGGATAACCTAACTTCTGTTGCCCATGCTCTGGTAACCTCTAGGTTAGACTACTGCAACACGTTATACGTGGGGCTGCCTCTGAGGGAGGTTTGGAAACTTCAGCGAGTGCAAAATTTGGTGGCCAGGCTGCTCACTGGGGCCAAGACAGTTTGAGCACATAACGCCAATTCTGGCCTGACTCTGCACTGGCTGTCAGTTAGTTTCCGGGCCCAATTCAAAGTGTTGGTTTTGACCTATAAAGCCTTAAATGGCTCAGGACCTCCATACCTCAAGGACCAGCTCTCCCCATATGAATTGACCTGAACCCTGTAATCATAGTCTGAGGCCTCTTCCAGGAGAGGTCCAGAGATGAGCCATTTCTGTGGTGGCTCCTTGCTTATCGAATGCTCTCCCCAGAGAGACTCACCTGGCGCCTTTGTTTGCATATCTTTTGGCACCAGGCAAAAACGTTCCTCTTCTCTCAGGCCTTTGGATAATTACCAAGTTTGAAAGGCCATAAATTGGCTATGTGTGGGGTTATTGTTCTTTGTTTTAACTGTTATGTGTTTTTGCGTTTTTATGCTGTAAACTGCCCTGTGATTCTAGGATGAAGGGTGGCATAGAAATTTAATAAACAAAATAACTGAATAAATACTGAGTCTGACCATTGATCCATATTGTTTGCTCCATGCAGCTTGGTAATGTCTTTACTGCTTGGCAGCAGGATTCCAGGGTTTTAGAGGGGACATTCGCAGCCCTGAGGATTGGCACCTTCTTAATGCAAAGCATAAAGCACTGAGCCTTTGCATTTAATTAAAATAACAACGTAGGACAGTCCCAAGCATGAAATCTGAAACTCTGGATGCAGGTGTATTGTGCACACACATGTTAGGAAAACGCAGCTGCCAGTTGCTGAACATGCATTTATACCCCCCCCCAATAATATTTTTTATTGTTTTCATTTGCACACTCCACATACACATATTGTATTACATTTCACATTTACACCTGCTGCCCAGAGCCGACTTCCCTCCTTCCCTCTTCTGGCCTTTTATATCACATCTAACTTTTTTGCATTGTCTTCATCCATTTTGTATATTATTGTTCTCCTTTCATATTTGTCCATAGTGTCTATAGTCAAATAAATTCTCTTGTATATACAATTCTTATTGTCTGTCTATATTCATTTACAACTACCATTGGTTACATTAATCACACTGTACATTTTACTTTTTGTTATTTTCTTTATCCAGAAATTTTCTTCGTATTTCACATTATGAGGTTTATTTCAGTTTTACTGGTTTCACTATTTCACTTATCCTTCCTATGTATGACATAAATTTTTCCCATTCTTTTTGAAATGTTTCATCGCCCTGTTGTCTGAACACGCATTTATAGTTAAGGTTTGTTGCCTTGTTATGTGCGCAAAAGCCCTCAGGGTTATTTTATTAATAATGCTTTCCTTCCCTTCCTGGAGGGAGGACTTGGGCACATTCGCTTTCAAGCAACATTTGTAGTATTAGCTGTATGAGAAGCTCATGGATTTTGCATATAACTGTTGCTGCCTTGTCTCTCCCCTTTTTCACCAGCATTGTGCTCTGTGGGCACTTGCTTCAATGGAGGGAAATGCTCCGGTGGAATATGCCAGTGTCCAGCAGGATTTCAGGGATCCCGCTGCCAGTATGGTGAGTCAGAAGTTTCATATTTTTCTGGGGAAGTTCTAGCCATGTGGTGACCTAAGCTTTGTTACATTCGGTTTCCTTAATGTTGCATGGCAATTAAAGCCCACTGCGGAAGGATACGACTGCACGGCCTTAGTACGTTTTGAGTAGCGTCTTATAGCATTAAGCTGCAAGTTGGAAAGTCAGAGAATTCTGCCAGAAACAGAAGCGGATTGTGTTTTTTGTCTCATGTCTGGAACGACCCAGCAAATACAACCAGATTTGCTCACCACATAGCCCACAACTGATACGTAATTATTATTATTATTTAAATCTTTTTACATTGTTTTGATATTTCCTTTCCATAGAAGTAGATGGTGCGCAGATAATTGCATTGTTAGGTTAAATTTGTAACTTAGGCAAATAAGCACTTAATTTATGTTAAATAGTGGACAAAGAGAGAAATGTAGCATTTCATGAAAACTGAGCTGAAGACAGGCCAGAATGGAAATCGCTTTCACCTTGCATTCCTGACTGCAAGCTGAGATTGCTTATGATAAGCAACCTGGAAGTTCCCTGATATTGGCGAAGCTCTCTGTATCTTTATAATGGGTGGATTCAGGCATTCAGATTAGTGGTTGTGTGCATAGCTGCCTCTTGTAGGTAACAATTCACACAGTTGGTATTCCTTTTAAAAACAAATTATTTATAGTTTTCATTGTATGAAAAGCAAAAAAACTCTTAAAAATCAAATTATTTCATATATCGTATATTGACTCCCCTCCCTCTTTCTGCGGTTCCTTATGTTTATAATATTTTTACTGCATTTCCAAATTAAACCATCCAGTTGGTAATCCCAGGCAATCTCTGCTGCGGTGTGATGATGTGATTTTGCAAAAGCCATTTAGTGTGTTTGTGTACCACACTTGGTTCTGTCTTGTTGCATTATGGATTACGAATATTGGGAGAAAGAAGGGAAGGCATGTGTCTAGTACAGGGGGCTGGGAATCTCGTGTCCTCCAGATGTTGGACCCCAACTCTCATCATCCTTACCCATTGGCCATGCTGGCTGGAGCTAAAGGGGTTTGGAGCCCAACAACCTTGGGGGGGGAGAGGTCCTTGGTTTTCTGTCTTAAAACTCATCTGAAGTCTTGAACAGGAATCAAAACTTGGATACAGGCGCTGTGATGAGAGTGGGTTGAGGTCATGTGTATGCAGTCATGGGCACACAAAACATGAGTGCTCATTCCAGGTAACTTTTCCACTAGTGCAGCTTAATGACATTGTTGCACTTTCGGCATTGGTACGACTTTCATGTGACCCAGAAGCTAAACCATATCAGGTATAACAAGGAATAACTCTACCAGTGCAACCAGAGTATTTATAGATGCAATGCTTTGCACAGTGGAGAATGCAGATCATTATGTTGTGGGCCCACAGATGAAATCGTGTTTCCATTGACATCTGCACAGTGTCCATTTCAGCAGAAGCTCCAGAACTCCCTTTAGCTCTGATGGGGGGAATGTTGGAAGAATCTGAGCCGATGTTTCGAATCTCTAGTTGTTAATGCAGCGATTACCTTAATGTCTAAAACATAAAGGCATTCCCTTGAGCACGCAAGGCATATGGCATTCTAAGGTGGGAGAAACTGTGGAGCTGCAGCGATAAGGTTGGATTCTGGAATCAAAATGAGGATTTTCGCAGTGGTTATTTCCCGGGGAGTTGACTAGAGTGCTGACACGAAACCATTAAAAACAGAGCTGCTTAGTCTGCCATTTCTGGTTCTTTACAGCTTGAAGTTTTATCTCGGTGGTCTGTGCACATTCAACTGATTCCTGAGGGTCTGATTGGAATTCTGGCAGTCATCACTTCTAGCATGGGCTATGAGCTATTGAGAGGCTGCCAGTTCTGGATCTGTAAATGACACTATAGGCAAAATTCACTTTGAAATATTTGTAAAAGCTATTCATGGGACCTGGAAACGAAGGCAAAGACCTCTGTTGGAAGTACATGGCTCAGAGGTTGCTACTAAGGTGGCAGACCATGGCAAAAAGCACACATCTTTTTAAATTAAAAAAAAGTGACATTTTGATTGGCCTGATCATGTGGATTTTGGAATTGTGCTTATGAGGCAACTGCCTTTGCTTTTTTATATCAGAAAATTTCAGGGATGGGATCCTGGAATATCCACAATGGGTGCAAGGCCCCTCTTGTCCTCCACTGAAGATTACACATCTGTAGCTATTGAAACTTTTCGTCTCTGACATTGTCTTACTTTTGAGGACACATAGAAAGAAAGAATTGGTTAAACCTGGTTCTTTACTCCAAAGTATGTTGGAATGTATAGTTCTAAAATTTCCTATAATCTGAGTCGTTTCCCCCTTGATTGTTGGGCATTCAAGCCGGCTAATGAGGGGAAAAGGTGGTGAGTAGTTTTGTTTTTGGTTTTTTAAGTGAAGCCATTATTAATGCATTACATCGAACAGGGGCATAGAAAGCTTTTAACAGTTCACTGACATGACCGAGGACAGCCCAGGGATATCATAACAATCTGTAATAGGGAGCGATTCCCTTGCAATTTGCAAGGTAGTCTAATGACTCCCTTAGAGATGTTACAGCTTATTTTGTAAGTCTAAAATACGAGGTTATCTTGATTTCGAGGCGAAGGTTTGCAGAACAGTAAGAAGAAATGCAATTCCTTTCCATCTTTGTATTCCATCAGTTTTTCTGGATAGAATAAGATATTTCAAAACAAAATATAAAAAATATAAAAATACTAGATTGAGCTGTGTAAAGTTCACATTAAAAAAAAGGGTCGTCCCCCCAAGTATTTGCCAGTTGTCTTGAAATAGACTTTTATGTGCATTGGTCTTATTTATTATTTTTAAAGAACCACCCAGCTCAAACATGTAAGGAAGACATTCTCATAAAGATTATTCATGTTTTTAATCAGGCAGCACTGAGCAAGCTGTGTTCTTTGAGGGTCAGAACTCTTCTCTTGAGACGTCTTGTGTCAAGGCTGGGATTTGAAATTACTGTTTATCCATTTTGGCTGAGGTGGTAAAGTCGAGGGAAGGAGGATTAAGTAGAGCTTGCTTCCCCTCAGCCAATGTTTTATTTATTTACTATTACGTTTATAACCCATCTTTCCTCTAAGGAGTTCAAGGTGGCGTACATGGTCTCCCCCCTCCTCGCTTTTTATCCTCAAAGCAACCATTTGAGGCAGGTTAGACTGAGAGACTGTGATTGGCCAAATGGTACTCGATGTACAGGCAACCTCCCCGCCCCCTTAACGCACATTCGATATTTGTGCGGCTGCACATATGCACACTGTACCAAACCAGGAAGTAACCCAAAAAGTCACAAAAAGGGGCAGAACAGGGAGGGGAGGGGATGAGTGTTTGCAGGCTTTTTCAATGGTGTTTCAAATATATGTAAATTTCACTTAAACACTCGGTGTCTCGGAACGCGACTGCTACGTAAATGGGTTGCCTGTACTTCCTGGCTGAGAAGAAATTTGAACTTTGGTCTCCTAGGCCCTATTCCATAGCCGCTACATCTCACTGGCCCAATACATTTTTTTGTCCCACCAGCTCACACGTACAAGGGTCAGTACTGAGCCCAGGATTAATACTGCCCTCAGCTACTGAAGATGGCTACTAGTCTTGATGGCTTTATGTCACCTCAAGCCGGGGACAGTATGCTTCTAAATACCAGCTGTTACAGATCACAAGTGTTATTGTGGCTGTTATGCTGATGCCCTGTTTGTGGGCTTCCCAAAAGCCTCTGGCTGGTCGCTATGGAAACAGAATGCTTTACGAGGTAGGCCTTTGGTCTGATCCGGCAAGGCGCTCTTTATATTCTTACAGGGATGTTCTCTAGTGACCACAATGTGCATTCACAGCCTAGAAAGGGTGAAGCATGATGGGTTGCAAGTTTCTATAATCCAGTAGCACCCTTTGCCAACCGGGTGCCCTCCAGCTGTTTTGGACTACAATGCCTATAAACCCTAGCTAGCATCAGGAATGGCTGATGAACATTGTCGTCCTAAACATCTGGAAGTTGTCAGGTTAGCTAAGGGTGTCTCCCCCCCCCCCCGGTAGGCACAGTGGACATCCACTTTAGGAATGAGAGGACAAATGTTCCAGAGAATACACTTACCTCAAAATAACTATGATATCAAGTCATAGTACAGAACTGCAGGTAAGATGTCCATAAAAGTTAATTAGTGTCTTATGGCACCTCTTGAAGAACAACTTATTTATTGTGCGGTGAACTCTTGTAGTCCAGAGCCAATTTCATTGTCTGCTTCATGTATCTGATGCTAGCAAGCTCTTTTCTGAGAAAGCATAAGATACATAAGCATTTAAGGTGCAACAAAATCCTCCTAATTGCAGCAGACTTTCATAGCTACTCTTCTAGAAAATGCAAGCCTGTGTGAAGAATTCTGTATGCATCTGGAGACATAAAAATGTTAAGACTCGCTGCTTATTTGCTTAGGTCAGAGGTTTTCAACCTTTTTGAGTACACGGCTCCCTTGACCAACTACGTTCTTTCTGCAGCACCCCAGTGGGGCTCAGGAGCCCAGTTAGCTCACCCCTTCCCTGCAGAGCTGGCAGCCTCTCACCCTTTTTCGAACACCCTCCCTTGTGGAGTGTGCCCTCAGCCTCATCTTCTCTCCCCTCTCTTCGGGAGTCCTCTGCAGCTGCCACGCCTGGTCTCTGAGCTGCCTCCCCATGCCCCAAAGAGAGATGCCTCCTCCCACAGGGGCCTGAGTCTTGTCTATCCATTCCCAACAGTAAGGGCTGGCAGACTAGTTGGCTGGCTCTGCTACTTCGCCTGTTTGCTTACTCCGAGGCCACCTCCGCTCCTGGCAACCAGCACCCCCTGTCCAGCCCCACCTGCAGAGCTTGTAGCCAGGGCTGCTGCAACAAACAGCCACACAAGCCTTTGGGTGGCAGAAACATGAGAGGACATCAGAGGAGGAAGGGAAAGAACACTGGACAGAGGCCAGTGTTGCCCGC